TGCATTATTCTTTTGAAATTATTTTGTTATCTTCAAATTTGAAATAAATTAAAGATTATTGAAAATTTTCAACTTTTTATAATCTCAAAATTTATTAATGAAATTTCAAATTTGTCGCTGATTGATTTTTGTATTTTATTATTATATTGATGAAATATGTAGAATATATTTCATCAATAACCATCGTCAAACCACTACTTTCCTCTTAATTCCTCTCCTGTTAATATGCATTTTTGCCACAATGCACTCGAGTAGTACCATTTCAAATGTGTTTCTGACCCTTAATCCCCACTAATTCTAATTGCCATCTTTTGATATTATTTTGTTATCTTTAAATTTGAAATAACGTATCTTCATCGTATCTTTTAAATAATTTATATTATAATTTACATTACAAAATTTTGATTTTATCATTTGAATATTTTCCTTATAGAATATATTTTGTGGCAAAAATGCAAATGGAATAAAGAAAAGTTTATTCGCTTCCCAACAGAAAAAAATATATTCTGAAAAAAAAAATTTCTACCTTTTTGATGCAAATATTCCTTCAATTTTTTTTATTACGTGATCATTTTTCTTATTATTATATTATTATTATATTGATTATATGATTATTTGATGATTATTTGATTGATGAAATTGGAAAATAGCAAAAAAAAAATTGTATTTGTTGTAGAACTATGCAAATCTTTCAAAACACTCCGAGGATGTTTTGATAAGATCTGATAATAATTCAAATGTTTTCTAAATAAACAATCTTTTTTAGAAGATAGTAATATATGAGACATGAATCCTCCTCTCTCCTTTAAAATAGGTAAAGGATAAGAAGAGATATGTAGAGATGTATGGGAAAATTCGGCACCAATAGGCTATGCTCAACATATTAAATAAAAATGGTAAAAATAAACTAAAAATAATCTAAATTTACAAATAATAAATGCCAAGTGCATGCAAATATCTACTAAATAAATATCTGCTAAAATAAAAGGCACATTACGTTCCTTTTCACGCATAACCAAACACACACTGATAGCCTAGCAATGGAAATCCTTGAGATATAAATAACAACAAAGGTAAAGAAATATAAAAAAATATAAACAGTGAAATATAAAAAAAACTGTGGTCGATTATGTAAAGTTTCGTCATACGTCTGTAGAAGTTCGTGAAATTATGGCATAAAAAATTATGTTGGTTGATTAATCATATATTAATAATCAAATAATCATAATTATAATATATCAATTATTGGAAATTTTGAAATGAAATTGTCTTTGGCTTCATTCATGGATAACTTCTGCATAACATAATCAATTCACCATCAATCTTATCGCTGTTTAATATATAAGTCGATGTAATAATTTCATAAAATTTCTTATGAGAAATGAGAAAAAAAGAGAAAAAAGGAAAATCTTCGTTTATGAGAATGAAAATTCCAGAAGAATATATCAACAAAAACTTTAATATTCCTATTTTTACAATTTTTTCTTATAATTTTCATTCCGTTTTTTAAATTAAAGTATGCAATTTTTTATTAAAGAATATAGCAAAGTATAGAATAAATTTTGCTATTTTCGAATATTTAAATCATCAGAATTTAAGAGAAAATTTTATTCAACAAGAATAAATATTTATTAATAGATTGAAATAAATAGCAAATTTTGATTTTATATAAATTTGATAAATTTTAAAATAAATTCATATTTAATGAAAACAAACGATAAATGACATATTTGAACGATTTCATAAAATGTAGATTATATATTTAATTCTTCGATTTAATTTCCTGTAAATAAAAAAAATTCATTTTTTTGGAAATATGATTAAAATAATAATTATAATAAGATATTATGTTATAATAATAATAAAATAATAATAAAAATTGAACTTTAAACCTTCAAAAGTACTTAAAAAAGAAAAAAATGTAAAATAAACATGGAAAAAAAAATGAATTAAGTGAAACGTTTCAGAAATACTTTGAACGCCGACTTTCATTTCGTAGCAATTTCAATAATAAAACATAACTTCAACTATAATTCCAACCTAAATTCACTGGTTGTTCATCGAATTAAGTAAAATTTAATTTACATATATGAAATTTTATATGGTTATGCCAAATCTTCATATCTTTTAATGGATAAAATCCACCGTGGAAAAATTTTTTAAGAGAACGAAATTTTCACCATCTATACATGATAGGCTTAAAGAAAACCATAGAAACGCATACTGATTTTCCAGAAGGTTCAACAAACTCGTTTTTCGCAGTACCAATCGCTGTGTGCGCATTGTATCTCCAATTACTTTAACTATTAACTTTAACTTTAAGACATAATTGAAAACATTATATATAATATTTCATGCTGATTAGAAAATATATTCCAAATATTTTTTTAAAAATCAGCAGAAAGATTTGAAAAAAAACCTTTAAAAAAGCGATCCGAAATTGATTAAAATTAAACGATTAAAAACGATCCAAAAAAGATTAAAAAGCGATCTAAAATTATAATTAAATTGAAATTATAATTTTAAAACCACTCTTCTATGTGGTTTTCGTTCAAAAAAACTAAACAAACTAGTCAAAATAAGTTTTAAATTATAATTAGTTAAAAATAAAATGAAAATTTTTTTTTACAAAAAAAATTACAAAAAATTCAAATACAAAAGAGTTTATAAAATTTCAAAAAAAAATATTAAATATTACGAGAAAACAAAATTTCTCGGTTTTCATCAAGAAATTTTTTGCATTCATGCATATTTTTATTTTCTATTTTGATTTTTCATTCATTTATTGAATTGTTCCATTTTTTAAATCTCCTTTTTATTATCTATTTTTCATTCTTTTGGCTTTATAATCAAGTTTTTTTGATTTTTTTAAAAAAAATTTAACCTTTTTTGATTTTTTGGCAATTTTTACTTTTTCCATACTTTGTTTTTTTGATATTTAAAATTTTAACTACTAAAAAACAGATATGTGGTATTAATACAAAAATAAAAAAAGTAAAAAGAATATTAAATATTGAATATCAAATATAAAAATATTGAATTAAATGACCGACAAAAAAATTTAACGGATTTTACTTGAAAAAAATATTATTACACGTATATGTATACTTTTAAAAAGTCCATGGGTGGAAGAAGCTTTCCTCAATCTTGGTCCATTTGCCAGAGTTTATAAGTATGAGCCTTTAGCTCAACATTTTCAAATTGACTATATTCAATACCAGAGAAATTTGATATCTACATGTATATATAATAAGTTAATAATATTCTTTCAATTCAATAAAGAGCAAAAATTGAAAAAAATACAAGTTATTGTTAACAAACCTAACTATGGAACTAAAAAGCATCAATGTACCTGAAAATCCTCAGGAGTGGCCTTTGGGCCGGCAAATATCAATCCTATTGATCTGCTAGAAATTCGTTTTTCGGTCTTGCAACATTCTAGGTTTATCAGTGCCAGTGGTACCTCACTTATATCCGCTGGCTGCCACTCCATTTCATAAGCTCAATGAAAAGTTATTGGACTTGAGCACTCCACTTTGTAGGACGATTTGTGATTGCCTAAAATTGGCATAATATTGATTTATGAACATAAAATAGTTTCAAACAATTTATTTTACTAAGTAAAGATTTTCTAAATTCTATTATGCCTAAAGCAAATCCTTAATTCTCCAAATTTTAATTAAGACATTATAGAGACAAATCTATAAAAAATAGAACTTTTTTCGAATTTCGATCTGACTGTCATAAAAAAAACTTACGGGTCACAACTCAGCGATTCCTTCCGGATGATATTCAACATATCTTCAATCTTTTCACGTTTGATTCTAGCCGAAGAATCAAAGTTCTCTGGCCGATATCCACAACTGACAGAATATTTCGCTATTCTTGGACCAAATTGACACTGCCTTGAATCGCAAAATGAAGCATTTTTTCATTTAATATTTTTTCACAAAAACCCATTCAGTTTATGCTATATTAATAAATCAACAGGATTTGCAGGCTTGTCTATATAAGAATAAGAATTGGAGTTTTTCAGGATCTCATGCAATGGTCCCATTTTCAAATTGTATGAAATCGATGATCACAAGCTGAACTTTCTTTATTCTGCACACAGCTTCCAAATAGATTGCATGAACAAACTCGTTTTCCGCACACCAACTGTTGTGAGTGCACTATATCTTCAATTACTTTAACCAGCTCATCTGGTTCATATTGAAAGCCTTTCCAGAACATTCAAACAAATCCCAAGATCTGCCAAGAGCTGGAAATGATTCGATAAGCATTAGTCCAAGGAATTGTCCATCTTTTCGTAGCTTTATATTTCTAAAAACCATATCTTTCATCATAAATTGCATAATATAAAATTATATCGCGCGAAAACGTCGAATTTCTGCACAATAAAAGAAAAGAATTTGCCATTCGTATATTTCCACTTGCATTATTGATATCTATTTCAAATAATTCAGTTGGAAAAACTCGAAAGTAATTGAAAATAAAACTATTGAAATATTGTGAAATATTATTGTAACGAAAAATGCAAACAACTGAAAACCTTACAAGGATTTAAATTTTTTATTTATTTATTTAAATTGATTTTAATTCGATTTAAATAAAAGGTTTTAATTTAAAATGGAAATAATCCTTTAAAAAAAGGAGCTTACAAAAGGCTTTTAAAACATTTTTAATTAAAATTTTTTAAAAATAAAAGTTAGAAATTAATTGGAAAAATGTATAAGAAACCATGAAACAATAATGAAAATGATCGCAAAGAATTTATAAAATTCGAAAAAAGGTTTAAAAAAAGATTAAAAATTTAAAAAAGTGCCTTTTATTCAAAAATATCGCCTTTTTCCTAATTCCTAAAATTCCTAAAAAAATCAAAGATTTTAAAAGATTATAGGAATTTGACAAAAAAATTTGAAATTTAAAATTTTTTTAAAGATTTACGAAAATTTGAATAAAATGCTTTAAAAAATTATAAAAAAGGAAAAAAATATAAAGAAAAAATGAGAAAATAAGAAACAAACGCTTTTGCGCGTTTAAAAATTAAAATGAAATAATTCAAAAATATCACACAAATCCCGTAAAAAATTGGAATAAATAATTTCAAAAAATCAATTAAAATTAAAACATTTTCTAAAAAAGAAAGCTGAAAGAAATTCACCACAAATAAAATTCGAAAAACTTTAGAAGGAATTTAAAAAATAAAAAATT